TTTCTTAATATTAATTACTATATTAATAATCACAATATAGCCAATTTTTATTTGATCTTTGTTAAAAATAAAGAACAGATGCAAAAAAAACAATAACAACAACAGTACAACATGAAAGAAACAAATAGTGCATTACTTTTTTCCTTTTACATTTAAACAAAAGCATTCAAGTAAGAAAAACAAATAATAAAACGTAAAAATCACTTCAATGTGCTCATTACAAATAAATTGATTATTAAAACTACAAAAGAAGTTCAATCAAGAGCAGCGATCTTTTATTGTTAGAACATTAATGAGATAGACGGCCTATAGGTATAGTAAGTCCTACTGTACTGCACGGAACTAATATAATGTTACACATCAGATGTTTTCCCCAACAGTTCCCCAAATGTTCACTTAAGACATAATAGATTATATTTGCATGAATAGCCTACTTAAATACTGTAATTCTGTGTATACAGTATGTGTATGGATCGGGATCGCGCACTGGCGGAAGCGCCTTTATGTGCACGATTCATATATCAGTCAGCGGCAGCATGTATATCAGACTCCTCTCAGAAAACATACAAATAAAGATCATCTTAGATGTTTAATTACTATTTGGAGCATTGGGATCACTAGACGAGGGCTTAATGAACTAATTTAGGTGAAAACCTGAAATTCGAACAAAATCGACATTTTTCACTTTTGTCTATAGCTCAAAATTAACCCGTGCACATTCCGACTCATTTTGCAAGCACGGGTCACATATACACATACAAAATCATAAAAAAAAAATATATATATTCCAATACCAATACCAATAAATACCCAATTATGAAAAAATTTATTTGTTACACACTGCTATATTTTATCAACTTAACCACACCACTTAAAGAAGAAGGTTAATTCAGTTCCCTTTCGATACTTATCTTATACTGCATCGCTAGACGCTTATGGGGAAAACAACCTTTTCTCCGATCACTGAAGCCTTTTTTTTTCAATCATGCAGTGTAACTGCACGGCCATTGGTTTGAGCAGTGAAATAAAAATGAACCAATGGCGCGGCAGCGGAGCCTTTGGCAATGAAGCCCGCCAGAGCCTGCCAGAATGGGCGGGGCCATCTGGCTATATAAGCGGGCATTTCGCCATAGATTAATTCTCCTTCAGCGACGACGATCGTCTCTTCACTGATCTACGAGTCTTGAAGCTGCTCGCCGTTGACACACCCTTGCTGCAGATAGAAGCTGATTCGCGACCTGCGCCACTCTGCTGTTTTCCACTCCGCTCATCGAGCCGTCTCAGCGTTCCGCGCAGATCCCAGCTCGTCCCCTGCCACCATCTGGTGAGCCTAAAAAAGCTAATTTCTCTAAAGAGCAAATTCGCGGCGTTGTTGCAAATGCCGCGCCGTCACTGCAGCTCATGCAGGACATTACCTCACTGCACGCTGATGACGGCCATTCAGAGTGCATTTGCTCTCTGGGCAAGCCCCACGTAGAAGCCGCTCTGACCGAGATGGAGTGTTCTCACTGCGAGAACATGAGTCTCGCCTCTATGCGTGCTCGGATCGCTTTCTTTTCCGAGATTGACTCCGTCCCTCACGCCCTCCCGTTTTCTTTCTCCCAGGGACCTGTGAGGAAAAAACAGTGGGGCAGAGGGACTCAGTGCCCAGCTTGCCACGCTCTCGCCTTGCAGAGATGACTCTTCCGTCCTCTTCGTGTACCCAGACCAGTTTCCCTAGACTAGTGCGAGCGACATGGTCTCGTTTGGTGGAATCGAGGACAATCTGCTTGATGACAGCATGTCTCTAGCAGCATCAGATGCGACAATTGACAATCGACCCGCCCCTTTACCATCTGCGGATCCCAGCGACACCAAACTAGGGATGGATGCCAACTATTGTGCTTCCTCTCTAAGGCAGTTGAGGAGCTGGGTTTGGAGTGGTCTGCGCCGGAGGAGCCCACTCGTAGCCGTCTGGATGAATGGTTCCTGCCGGGGTGTTGTCAGGCCCCTAAACAGTGAGCCTCTCCTTTCTTCCCGGAGGTCAACGATGAGCTCACGAAATCGTGGCGCGCTTCCTACTCGGCTCGCCTTCGTACGTCCGCATCATCCGCCTTCACTTTCATTGATGGCGCTGAAGAGAAGGGCTACGAGAGGCTGCCTCCTTTAGACCTCTGCCCGCCCATTGCCATTGGATGGAAAGAGAAGGTCGCTCACCCCTCCAAGCCATGCAGGACTATGTCTGCCCTCGCTGGACGAGCATACTCCTCGGTCCAGCGAGGAGTCTCTCCATGCACTCCAGGGCTGTGCTCCAGGTCTTTCAGGCCAAACTCCTCCAATGCATGGATGAGTCGGGACCTGACCTCACAGCTTTCAAGGAGCTGCGCAGTGTAACAGACCTGGCCCTGCGAGCCACAAAGATGACAGTGCAGGCCATCAGCAGGTCAATGGCCAGTTTAGTGGTGCTGGAGCGCCACTTATGGCTAAACCTCACAGAGATCAAAGGACAAGGTCCCTTTCCTCGGCTCTCCAGTCTCCTCTACGGGGCTGTTTGGATCATCAATCGCCAAGGCAGGCTCACCTTTGAGATCAGGCTTTGAGATGGTAAAACGCCTCTTGGAATGGGCACATCTGAACTTGCATTCATTGAGGGCAGCACATGTGCCAGGTGTATCGAACCAGGGAGCAGACATGCTATCTTGGAGCAATGTCCCCTCAGAGGAGTGGATGCTCCATCTACAAACGGTTAAAAAAATCTGGGAGATTTTTGGCAAATCAGAGGTTGACCTCTTCGCCTCAAAAGACAACTCTCACTGCCCAATTTATTTTCGAAATACTAGGATGCGTTGGCCCATGACTGACCCAACCTCCTCATTTACGCTTTCCCCTCAATCGCTCTGATCCCCCAGGTAATCAGGTGAATCAGGGAACACAAACACAAAGTTCTCCTAGTGGCCCCGCTCTGGAGGAACCAACTTTGGTTCTCAGAGCTATCTCAGCAGGTAACAGCAGCCCCATGGCCCATTCCCCTGAGACAAGACCTTCTCTCTCAGGCGAACAGGACGATTTGGCACCTCCAGCCCGAGCTGTGGGCTCTGCACCTCTGGGCTTTCGATGGGGCCTCCAGCCCGAGCTGTGGGCTCTGCACCTCTGGGGTCTCGATTTATACTTCTGTGTCGAACCTACGCCGTGTGTAGCCTATGCCGTAGGCTGTGTGTAGCCTGAGTAGCCTATGCCGTAGCCTGACATGCACCTCTCCAAAAATGTCACAGCGCGTCAATTCTATGTGGACTGCAAGCACTGTGATTGGTCTGCTAGAACCCCTCCCTCCGTATGTATTTGAGTTTTGTGTGTGTTTTTTGTGCTTAAATATATTTTAATGTTACACCTTCTTATTTAAAATAAAACAAAGCAAAGAACAAGTGTCTTATAATTTATTATACAACGTAGCATATACATCACTTAGTTGTCTGTGACAAACAATGTTGTTCTGCCATGGTACAAGTCCTTGTGGAGATTGAAAGAATGCCATATTTTCCTGTTTCCTGTTTTTTGTAGTTTTAAATAAATTATCTGTTCTTTAATATTTATTTGCCGCTGTCACGGCTGATGCTTCTCCAATAAGCTGCTTCTTCTTCGGCTTTTGCCTGACACTGTGGGTTACACCAGCAACGTGGACACTGCAGACTAGTGGTTTACATGTGTAATTGCACGTCGACGCGGACAACGAAAATGAAAAGCGACGCATAGCCTACGGCATAAAGGCTACGACGTAGGTCCGACGCAGAAGTATAAATCAGCCATAAATCAGCCTTAAGCCCTGCCTGCCTTGAATTTGGGCCTAACGACTCCAAGGTCATCCTAAAGCCAAGTCATGGATATGTTCCCAAAGCGCTCAACACCCCATTTAGAGCACAGGTTATCACGCTCTCTGCGCTTCCTCCTTCGGCGGAGGACCAGGAGCTGAACCTTCTCTGCCTTGTCAGGGTGCTGAGAATTTACATTGAGTATTCTGCCCCGTTCAGGTAGTTGGAACAACACTTTGTATGCTTCGGTGGCCACACCAAAAGGTCTCCGGTCACGAAGCAGAGAATTTCTCGATGGTTGGTTGACGCTATCGTGCTAGCATACTCCTCCCTGGGCCCGCAGTGCCCCATAGGAGTAAGAGCCCACTCTACGTGGGGCGTAGCCTCGTCGTGGGCTTGGTCTAGTGGTGTGCCCATAGCAGACATTTGTGCGGCGGCCGGCTGGGCCTCGCTGTCCGCTTTTGCCAGGTTCTATAACTTGGATGTTCAAATTGACCCACGTTCAAATAGATCCTGCCACGTCTCAAATTTAGGTGTAAACTCTTTTATTCACATCAACAAAATTTTATTTTTTGCTATGGTTATCCCATATTGAATTATCTGGATTTGATTGAAACTATAGTTCTCTAAGAAATGGGCCCAGCCTAATACTGCAACAAGAGGGTCATGAGGAAAATAAATCTTAAGTACCTTTGAGTTGAAATCAAACACCTCAGTCCAAAATTTACACATTTTTGGGCAAATCCAAAATAAGTGAGTCAATGTACCCTCACTGGACTTGTATTTGATACACAGAGGTGACACAGAGGGAAAAGTAGAATGTAATTTGGTACGAGAGTAGTGTATTCTATGGACAACTTTATACTGAATCAACTGAAAATTAGAGTTGATGGGACAAGACCTAATACCTTGGAGGGCCTTAGTCCAGTTATCTTCTGAAATATATAACCCCAAATCCTTTTCCCAAGACATTTTTAAGTATTGTGTATATAAATCTCGTATAGATAGAACTCCTTTTTCTTTCTGCGATAAAAAGGTTCTATCTGACTGTGAGGGATGGAATGCATGATTGCAAGCTATAGGGATCAGAGAGCAGGTCTGAGGGAGTTTAAAGATCTTTCTGAGCTGATACCAAATCTTCAGAGAATTTACAACAATAGGGTTACATTTCTTAATTGTGAAACATTTTTGTTGTATTTTATAAGACTTTTAATTAGCTGAAGCTCCTTGCGTGTTTCTCTTTTCAGGTTTGATCAGAGGATCTCCCTCACAATCTTCACTTCAGACTCCAAAGACCGAGAAAACTTCTCTTACCAGAACTGTGTCAGGTGACTGGTGTTTGCATGTCACTAGATTCACCTCTAGATAAGTGAAATACTGTTTGGGCTATAATGACAGGAAGTGTTGATAGTAAATGTTGCAAACAATGCCGAAAGGTTTGTTGATGAAATGTTTTAAACTTTTTGGGGGTTTAAGCTTTAGCTCATACAGTAATTCACACCTGCATTTTGATTGAACCTTTTGCATATTTTTATTTTACAGTATGTAAAAACAAAACACAACAACACAGCTTACAATATATGGTTATTTCTTATATTAATAAAACAGTTACATTAACAAAGAATGTGTCCTCTTGACCTTTATATCCTGTTTATCATATCATTAAGGTATAATATATAAAGTATGAGGAAATGCATAAAGTTACACACCAATGCAGTAGTGTACATTAAGATTTTTTTTTATTATTATAAATATTCATTCATAAAAGGGTCAAATTTAGAGTAAAATTACTGGTAACTAAAAAGAGCTTTCATATTACATGGTCATGTTGATTTTTTTTTAAAGACCATTTGCTCTGTTGAATGTTATACAGAATGACACGAATTGTCTCCAGTAACTGTTTGTGTTATTCTCAGATTCTGCAGTTGAAATAACAGGTACACTGGCAAGGAGAGGGGCATCGATCCGGCAGAGCTTGGGTCTGGGTACTAAAAAATACAAACAAGAACCACTTGAACCTGTCACAGAGGCCATGACTTTATCTGAAGAGCAGACTGAGGTCGTAGACACAGTGTTGGAGCTCAGTGACACATATACTCTGCCAGAGATACCACCTATGCCTTTGTCAGGTGAGTGTGAGAGTGCATGTCCCATCTCTAGGCAGTTGACAAAGTAGTTGTAATGTAAACATCATCGTTTCAGATGAAAATTTATATGAATGTTTTAGATATTTGGACTGGGCAACATTTTTGTTACACCATTAAATTTTGGGTCATTTGCTTTACAAAATTTATATTTAGTTTCCTGAACATCAACATTAAAAAGTTTGCTCTTAGTCCTATGATGAAGGTTTTTTCACAGTTTGGGGCCTGGGACCCATCCTTATCATTTTGTCTGTGCTCCCATAAGATTCAAGCGATGAATCTTATTTGAACTGACATAAAAAGGCATGCAATAAAAAGTAAAAATGCAGTTTAAAATGGGTTCATGTAGTATAACCATATGTCATGCTGCTCAACAATCCGCATATACACTACCGTTCAAAAGTTTGTTCAGCATTAAATTGCTCAAAAATTGACATTTGTAATGTTACAAAAAATTAAATAAATGTTGTTCTTTTGAACTTTTTATTCATCCTGGAAAAAAGGTATCACAGTTTCCACAAAAATATTAAGCAGCACAACTGTTTTCATCATTGATAATAATAAGAAATGTTTCTTGAGCAGAAAATCAGCATATTAGAATGATTTCTGAAGGATCATGTGACACTGAAGACTGGAGTAATGATGCTGAAAATTCAGCTTTGCATCACTGGAATAAATTACATTTTAAAATATACTGAAATAGAAATCAGTTATTTTATAATATTCCACGATAATATTTGATAATATCACAAAATATTGTTTTTACTGTAGTTTTGATTAAAATAAACGCATAAGAGACTTCTTTCAAAAACATTAAAAAAAACGTACTGACTCCAAACGGCAATGTACATTTGCTTTGTCATTTTGCTGAAGATAAAAAGAAGAAAAACAAACACTATATACTGTCACACTGTGATTTAGATGTTCTATTCCTGCTTTTTTAGCACACCTGTCTTGAAGAGGACTTGCAATCAAAGTTACATTTTGTTCAGTATCTATTTATCTGTAAAGAACATCACATGCCGACATTACCCAGACCACATCAGAAACTCTTTAGTGGCTAATCAGGGATAAACAGAGCATATTTTACAATGTTTTTAGAAAACATGAGCTGATGTGGCAGAGATCTAGACAGAGGCATCAGACATTCCTGAATGAAATATGATAGTTGTTGATGCAAGTGAGTTATAGTTCCAGTATCAGGACACAACTCATGCAGTCGTCTGTATACTAATATTTTGCTTTTTGTTCTACTTTTTCTGTTATTTTCTGCAGTAATGGAGATTAATAAACTGATAGAGACAGAACATTTAGAGGAGGCCTACGTGAATCTACTGTCACTACGTCTGGAGCTTCAGCGGGAGCATCAAGCTCTGGATCAAGAAGACTATCCCATCGAACTTGTCAATAAAGAGAAAGACCTGAGTCTGCTCTATGGCACACTAAAGAACAAAATGTCTGCCATTATACGCAACTCCAGTGCTCTTCCCTCACACAATAAAGAGCTGCTGGTGTATGTGGCATACATTATCCTGGAGGAAGAGAAGAGACGGACAGAGCCAGGAGCGATGCAGGGATGGAGGGAAGCATGGAAGGATGCGGTACTATACGGGGTTCGAGATTCACTGAAGAAAGTTCCTCTGGACAGCCGCGAGAAGAATGCTTCCTGGCTGGCAGTGCATCTGGGGCTTCTGGGTAAAGCTGTGGTGGAGGATTTGCAGAGAGTGAAGACTGAGCTTCTGAGCTCATATCCAGCAGACTTTAATGTGTTTGAAACCTATGTGTCCTGCCACCATGAGGCTGTAGGAGAGCATCTAAAGAGACTTCTGGAAAAGGTGACAGAGCTGAAAGATTACTACGCTCTTCTAGATTTCATTATTCATCGCTACCCCAGGTGAGGTTTTCCTCAGTTTAGATTTAGTTTTTATAAATACAGCATGTCAATATAACTTAAAACCCTTTTTGATATTGAAGAAGCAAGCATACTGGTTCAAACCTTTATGAAGTATATTTTTATGACACACAAAAGCTGATTTTTTGAAGAATATCCAGGCTGTTTGTTCCATATTATAAAAAGTGAATGGGAAACTCAGGCTCAAGTTTGGAAACAGTAGAAAACACCATTAAAGTATCATAAAAATACATATTTCATTATTTCATTGACAGTACCATTCAGAAGTTTGGGGTTGGTAAGACTGGTAAGAACTTTTTATGTCTCTTTAAGTCTTTTATGTTCATCAAGGCTCCATTTTTGGATCAAAAATACAGTAGTATTGTGAAATATTGTTCAAATTTAAAATAACTGTTTTCTGTTTTAATATACTTTAAAAATGTAATTTATTCCTGTCTTCAGTGTGACATGATTCATCAGAAATCATTTTAATATGCTGATTTGCTGCTCTAGAAGCATTGCTTATTATTATCAGTGTTGAAAACAGTTGTGCTGATTTTTTCAGAATTATTTGATGAATAAAGTGTTAAAAACAAAAGGATAGAAATGACAGTATTATTTTCTTTCCTGGAAAAACAAATCATATGCCAAACCTTTGAACGGACGTATATATATTTAAGATCTTCTGAAGCCATATAATAGCTTTGTCTGACAATTTTTTCATCATGGTTCACTTAAACACCACGTCAGGTTTGACCTCAATGACATTTGATCTGAGAACCAATGGCGTTTTATGTCGTTGACATCAAACCAGGAGTTTTGTTTGATTTACATAACTCATTCACATAAGCCAATCAATAGAGTTACCTACTGCATCAGTCAGAGGCTCTAAACATCCACGTCTCAAATCGTGAAAGGTCTAGTGGTCTCATGAATGTGTTTTTAAAAGACCCATACACAGCTGTGCCTCAGTGTGATAAATAGCTCATCGTGATTTATTCCAGCCTTCTTCAGACCTTATATGGATACTCATTTGTGATCCAGTTGATGAGATTCATTGTGACTGTACTACTACTTTAAAAGGTTATGATTATGGCTTTATCTTAAAAATGTACTTACTTATGTACCTGAATTTAATTTATCTTTCCATAGCGAGAAGATAATGGGAAGCAGCTCTCTGCGGCCTGAGCTGAAGGAAGATCAGAGAGCACTGCCAGTGGACAAAGATTTCCTTAATCAGATAAAAGACAAATACTGTGCACGCTTACAGGTAGTTAACAAACATTTGTCATTGTCAACGCTAGAAGCGAGATCGTACTGACAGTGTGGTGTCAGTAACTGAGAGTTTCTGAATTCAGTGTAATCTGTACTCTTGATAGGCTGACATGAAAACATCACTCAACAGAATTACTGACTTGGAGAATGAGGAAATGTGGAAAGAAAAAAGAAAACCAGTGATTGATGAGGGAATCTACTGCTCACACATTGACATGGACATCTGGACGGTAAGACTGCAGACTTTCATAATTAGCTCACCTTCCCTTGGTTTTAAATGGAAGTCAAATTAGCGTTAAAGGAAAGTCTTTGATTTCCCATTTATATGGCCACAAACTCATGAGGGCATTGGTTTACCAACAGAGGGCAGTATAGGACATTTATATTAACTTATAGGGGCCCCAAAACCTATTAGGAAAGTTATGATGCCTTCATATGCTATCTGAAATTTCCTGCTTCGCATTTATGAAGTCGTAATTACGAGTTTGTCATGTTTAAGTGCTTTGTTATCAGAATGAATAGGAATCATAGAGGAAACCAGGTTCATTCTTGCCTATTTATAATTTAATAATAATAATTTATGCATTTAGCAGACGCTTTTATCCAAAGCGACTTACAGTGCATTCAGGCTATACATTTTTTACTAGTATGTGTGTTCCCTGGGAATCAAACCCACAACCGTTTGCGCTGCTAACGCAATGCTCTACCACTGAGCCACAGGAACACTATTTCTTGGGGAAAAGATATTCACCAATATCGAATGGATTTTGAATAAAATTTATTGTGTACATCTATTGTATACATTCACCATGCTATCTAGAGTCATCTTGCTGTCGATTCTGAAGTTTCAGTCAGTTTCAGATTTCAGAGTTTCAGATTTTGTAAGTTTGCCCACTTACAAAGAAATGAAGGGTCTGTAATTTTTATGGTAGGTTTATTTTAATGGATAGAGACAGAATACCAACCAACCAACTGATGTCAGTTCGTGACATCACAAACCCAGGTAAACCCCACCCTCGGGAAAAGGCAGCAAAGGGGGCGAGGCCATGCTGCGCTGCTTTAGAGAAGAGGAAGAGAAAACTAGAGGTGCACATAAAAATCTATTCATATATGAATCGCGATCCTGTCTTCTAACGATTCTAATGGATTCACAATTCACAATTCTCTGCACACGCTCTGCATCTCTGTCTCTCTCTCTCTCTCTCTCTCTCTCTCTTTCTCATTCAGCTCAGCTCCAGCAATGAACTGTTACAATTATACACTTATTTTCACATAGCTATGAGAAGCGTTAAACATGGACGCGCGTGCAGTTGCCGTACTGTATTAAAGCTTTAATCAGGATAAAACTGTATATTAAAAGCTAACATAAGCAGTAGCATTTACAAATAACAGCATATCTAAAAGTATGAGACAACAACAAACAAAAAACATAGGCCTAACATTAAAAGCCGTGCTTGCACAGGTTCTGCACGATCCTCTTCAATAATATCCTCTGCTTCTCAATCGGGCTCAAACTGATAAGCGATATTAACAACGCCTTTGTTTACAATACATGAGAAATGCGTTTCTCAGAGAAGGGACAGAGCTGTGTTGAATAAAGGTAAATTATGTGAAAAATAATGCGTTTTTTTAAAAATGAAGCATTAACACATGTTAGACTGCACCCCATAAACACAATCAAGTCTAGAAAAAAACCACTGAACCACCCCTTTAAAGTTTGCCAATGAACATCTAAATGATTCAGAGAAGGCTTGGGAGAAAGTGCTGTGGTCAGATGAGACCAAAATTGAGCTCTGTGGCATTAACTCGACTCGCCGTGTTTGGAGGGAGAGAAATGCTGACTATGACCCCAAAAACACCATCCCTACAAATAAACCTACCATAAAAATTACAGACCCCCATTTGTTTGTAAGTGGGCAAACTTACAAAATCAGCAGGGGATCAAATAAATATTTTCCCGCTATATATATATATATGTTAGGGCTGTCAATAGATTACAATTTTTAATCAGATTAATCACACACTTTTTCTGTGATAAATCGCGATTAATCGCACACTTCATGAAATTAAGCATAGACCATTTATCTTGTTTCAAATGGTTATTTTGTCATCATTTGCTATATTCAGCAAAGTAAACCAAAAGATTGAAGGGTGATTCTCAAAAATCTGTATTTTCT